ACAGCATTATTTTATATTTTTATAGCATGATTTTACCTATTTTACAGCATTATTTAATATTTTTATACCATTATTTTACCTATTTTACAGCATTACTTTATCTATTTTGTAGCATTGTTTTACATATTTTATAGCATTATTTTATATTTTTATAACATGATTTTACCTATTTTACAGCATTATTTTATCTATTTTGTAGCATTGTTTTACATATTTTATAGCATTATTTTATATTTTTATAACATGATTTTACCTATTTTATAGCATTATTTTATATTTTATAGCATGATTTTACCTATTTTACAGCATTATTTTACCTATTCTACAGCATTATTTTACCTATTTTATAGCATTATTTTACCTATTATCTCTCTTTCTGTTCATATTGTTATTAGATATGTTCTACCACCATGTGCTCTTCATAGTGCACCAATAATATAAAATGTTTTTACTTTAAGACCGCTAAAATTAGGGTTCACAATATTCTCTGTAAAAGACAAACGTACTTATGAATAAAATATCATTCCTTGCCTTTCTAACAATAAAATGATTTTCATTCCCACCCCAGCAGCAGCAGCAGCCCAGGTGGGTGAGCTGAGGGATTACCTGAGAAACCCAGGTCGGGGTTTTTCTTCTTCTTCTTCCTCTCCCACCTCTCGGCGTCCTCGGCGCTGATCTCCAGCAGCTTCACCCGCTCGTAGTCCTCACCCCGGGCTGCGCACTCCTGTGGGAGCAGCAGGGAGAGCCGTGCCAGGGAACCAGCCTGGGCAGTGCCAGGGAACCAGCCTGGGTAATCCCAGCTCCAGGGAAACCAGCCTGGGTAATCCCAGCTCCAGGGAAACCAGCCTGAGCAGTGCCAGGGAACCAGCACAGATTTGGGGTGCCAATCAGGGCTCAGTTAATTACCCCACAGCTCAGCCTGAGCTCTGAGCAGCGTGTCCCTGTGTCCCTGCCCACCCTGGGGGGTTCTTTACCTTCTTCTTCTCCTGCACCTGCAGCTCCCACTCCAGCCGGGCTTTTTTGGCTTCCCAGTTCGGGGGCAGCTTCAGCCTCTTGTCCTCCTCCATCACCTCCTGGCTGTTCAGCTTGCAGGCCTCGTGCTGCAGGCAAACGGGGCAGCAAAATGGGGCAGGGGAGAGCAAGCCCGGGGAGTGAACCCCAACACCCGGGAGTGAACCCCAACACCCGTGGAATGAACCCCAGCATCTGTGGAACAAACCCAAATCCACATGGAATGAACCCCAACACCCCTGGAATGAACCCCAACACCCGTGGAACACCCCAAACCCGCATGGAACAGCCCCAAACCCCCATGGAACAACCCTAAACCCCCACAGAACAGCCCCAAACGCCCAGGGGAACAAACCCACATCAAAGCCCCGAACCCCCGGGGACAAAGCCCCGAACCCCCGGGGGAACAAAGCCCCGAACCCCCGGGGACAAAGCCACCCCGAACCCCCGCAGAGCACTCCGGGCTGGCACGGAGCTCCGGAGGTCGCCCAGCGGCAGCCCGGCCGTGCTCGGTGCCGGCCCCGCTGCCGTCCCCCGTACCCGCTTCATGTGGAGCTCCCGGAACCGGCGCAGCCGCTCCTCCCGCCTCTGCTCCGCCGCCGCGGCCGGGCCGGGCTCTGCCGCCGCCTCCTCCTCCTCCTCCTCCTCCTCGTCGCTCTGCAACGAGCCGCACTCAGCCAGGAGCGCCGGCAGGAGCCGGGAGCCCCGAGCCGACCGATCCCGGCCCCGCCTCACCCCGACACCGGCCTCGGGCAGCCCCAGGCTGCTGAGGGCCGACACCGCCGCCGCCATCGCACCGCGCCCGCGCTTCCGCTTTCCGGTATCCGGTACTTCCGGTATCCGATACTTCCGGTGTCCGGTACTCTTGGTACTTCCGGCGCTCCCGGCGCGTCCTGCAGGGCGCCCCCTAGCGGGCGGGTGGTGCCGCCGCCGCTGTCCTCGGGAGCCCCAAAATGGGGACGTTACAGAAAATTAATAAAATAAAATAAAATAAAATAAAATAAAATTAAATAAAATAAAATTAAATAAAATAAAATTAAATATAAAATGAAATGAAATGAAATGAAATGAAATAAAATATAAAATGAAATAAAATTAAATATAAAATAAAATGAAATGAAATGAAATGAAATGAAATGAAATGAAATGAAATGAAATAAAACAAAATAAAATAAAAGATAAAATGAAATGAAATGAAATATAAAATAAAATGAAATAAAATGAAATAAAATAAAATAAAATAAAATAATAAATTAAAATAAAGTTTTGTTGCAACTTGTGAGCAAAGCAAGCCCTGGTTGAGAGAATTAATACAGCATAACTTTCTAACATTAAATATATAATATTCATGGTAATATTTGCGAAAAGCCAATCATAAAATCTGCATTTTTCACAGCAGGATTGCAGAGCAGCCCCGGCAGAGGGAAGCGCAACCCCAGCCGTGGCTGAGCCCGGCCCTTCACCAAAAAAGGCACCAAAAAAGCATCAAAAATCATCAAAAAAGCACCAAAAAAGGCATAAAAAATCACCAAAAAAGGGATCTTGCCCCACTGGCTGCCGAAATCCCCCTGGGAAAGCCTTGGCAGGCACGAGAAAGGAATTTGGGCCTGAAACTTGCCCAGGACCCCGTCAAACTTGTAATAATGCCATCAATCCAGCAAAATGGGGGATCTGAACTGCTGGGGAAACTAATTAGGGACAGGTCTTATTAAAAATTAATTGGGGACAGATCTGTGCGTGGTCATTAACCTTGGGGAAATGTGGAGAGGGTTTGGTTTTTAGGGGGAAGAGAAGCTGGGGCTGTGTCAGGCCAGCTCCTCTCCATCACAGGCTCCTCGCCGCGTCCTCCTGGGTTGCAATTACAATCTTTCAGCTCAGACACAAAATCATTGCTCCGGAGAGCCAAAATTACCTGGCTAATGGGATTACCAGAAATTAACCCGGTTACGTGGGGACTCCATCGAAAATGAGAAAGTGCTGATGGCCAAAATCAATTCCTCCCCAGCCAAATGACTGCAGGCCTGGCTTAGGGTTTCAGTTTAATGCTCAGCCCTCCTACAATGAGCAGGGTGGGATTGAATTAGGTCCTGACGTGGGCTTCGAGTGATGGCAGCGGTTTGTCTTTAATGCCAGCAGAGAGCTGGGGGAAAAATGGGAAATCCTCCCTGCTTTTCCCTGGAACCACAGGGAGGGTCCTGCTGGGGGTCCCTGGGATGGGAAAAATGGGAAAAATGGGAAATCCTCCCTGCTTTTCCCTGGAATCACAGGGAGGGTCCTGCTGGGCGTCTCTGGGATGGGAAAAATGGGAAAAATGGGAAATCCTCCCTGCTTTTCCTCTGGAATCACAGGGAGGGTCCTGCTGGGCGTCTCTGGGATGGGAAAAATGGGAAAAATGGGAAATCCTCCCTGCTTTTCCTCTGGAATCACAGGGTCCCTGGTGCCCTCGTGAGGAGCTGCCTTGGCCAAGCCCTCCCTGCCCGTGTTCCAGCCCAGGATCAGAGCTGGAATTGGGGCAGGGGGCTGGGGAATGGGGTGGGAAGGTTTGGGATCCACAGTGGGGTGTGGGAATGGGGTGGGATGGTTTGGGATCCACAGTGGGCTGGGGGAATGGGGTGGGATGGTTTGGGATCCACAGTGGGCTGGGGGAATGGGGTGGGACAGTTTGGGATCCACAGTCGGGTGGGAACAGTGGGGTGGGATGGTTTAGGATCCACAGTGGGGAATGGTGTAGGATGTTTTGGGATCCCCAGTGGGCTGGGGGAATGGGGTGGGATGGTTTGGGATCCACAGTGGGGAATGGTGTAGGATGTTTTGGGATCCCCAGCGGGCTGGGGGAATGGGGTCTTTGGGATCCCCAGCAGGCTGGGGCAGCAGCACGGGACACTTTGGGATCCCCAGCCCCACGGGTGATAAATCCCGGGCTCCCCAGGCAGGGCCGCTCCTTTCGGCAGCTCCGGTCTCCTCTTTTCCCCTAAAAGCCGGAACCCGGCGGGGTTTCCTGGCTGGGAGCGGCTCGGTCGTTGCCGTGCCTGGGAAATGAAGCCGGTTTTGTGTTTTACCGCACGAAGCCGGGGCTGGGCCGCCTCCCGGTGCCTGTGTCCCCCGTGGGGAGCTGCCGGCCCGGCTGTGCCTCACCCCGCCGGGATCGGGGGGACTCGGAGCGCCCCAAACCTGCGGGGATGGAGAGCCGGGCGTGGCCCTTCCCCGAGGATGCGACAAGCGACAATTCATTAACTGTCCCCGAGCGGAGCGGGGCTGGACCTGGCGTCCTGCTGGCGCTGCCGGAGGGAGCTGGCAGAGGGGAAGGGACAATCGCGGCGGTCCTGGAAGAGCCCCAGCGCCCCGGCAGAGCCGGGAGGGTGCCCTGGGTGCTCAGGGTTTGCTCCTGTCCCTGCTGTGGGACAGCCGGCGGGAGCATCCCCAGGATGGAGCCATCCCTGGAGGGCAGCAGGGAGGATAACGTCACGTTTCCCCCGGATCAATGAAGATTTGGGTTCGGGAGTTATTAGCCCGGTGTCATAAACTATCTGAAAACCACAAAAGTAAAATAATAAATCTCCTCTGTTTGCCTCCTGCGCGGGGTTTTTAAGTACCCGAGTCCCTCCAGGCAGCGGTTCGATATCGCAGCGCACACAAATCACCGAGACAGGGCCGGATTTTGGGGAATATCGGCCAGGCTTTGCTGTTTCCCAGCGCTCGGCCCTGGGGGATGTGTCCCTGTCCCACAGCGGGGCACTTTGGGGTGTTCCTGCCATGGGAAACGCAATTCAGGCACAATTAAATGATTAAAACTAAACTGGTGCTGGGAATCGCACCCCCAAACTGGGGTTCAGCAGCTGTGGGGAGCAGGAGACAGCTCCTCCCAGTGCTCCCAGTGCTCCCAGTGCCCCGAGGTGTCGGTGCCAGCAGCGGGGCTGTCCCCGGAGGTGTCGCGGTGTCCCCTGGCCCCTGCCAGCCACAGGTTTGTTTTTAAAGCTTTTTCTGGTGCCATTTCCCGGTGGTTTTGTCTCCGGGCCGTGGCCGCTGCGTTCTCCCTCCCTTCGTTATTTCCAGCCTGCCTCGGGCTCTGCGTGGTTTGCCCCGATCCCAGCGGGGTCCCCCTCGAAACCCACCAGAACCGAGCTCTCAAAGGGAAAAATAACCCCGACCAAATAAATCCTAACAAAACAAACCCCGACCAAACAAACCCCGAGCAAACAAACCCCGAGCAGGGCGATGTGGGGCGGGTTCCCCGTTCCCTCTGCCGGGAACACTTCCAGCAGCCGAGGGAAAGGCGCAGGAGGAGCACGCGGTGGATCGGGGGTCAGCGAGCCCCGCCGCCCTCCAGGGGCTGAGGTAATTAGCGCCGGGCGTTAATGAGAGCAGCTCGCGGGGCACGGCCGCGGCGGTGCCGTGCCTTTTCCAGGGATGCGGTGGCGCATCCGTGGGGCACCGGCGGTCCCCGGGAAGGCTGCGGGGACCGGGCCGACCCCTCGGGACACGCCGAGCCCGCCGCACACGCGGCCCGGGAGCGGCGCTTCCCGTCCGGACACCTGGGCTGGGGAACCCCCGCGCTGTTCAAAGGCACGGAGCCTCTTCCCTGCGCCGCTGCCCCCGTGCCCCCCAGCTGGGCTCCGCGGGCCGGGCAAGCACGAGGAGCCTCCCCGAGCGCACATCCCGCTCGCCATGCGCTCCGCAGCCGGCGGGGCGGGATGCTCGGCCCCGCTTCGTGCCTCGCACACCATTTCCCGGCGCGGGGAGGGCTCTTCGTGCCTCTGCAGCGGGGTGGAAGCAGGTGCAGCTTCCTGGGTTTCTGCTGAGGCCCGATTTTGGCTCCTAAAGTGTTAAGTGAGTGCTAAGCCCCATAAAATTACCCTTTCAGCTACTATTTCTGCACAAAAGGCTCTCCGCGACGAGATATGCCAAAGCATCTGATGAAGTAACATGTCTATTCTCATTTGTGACATTTATTATTAACAGGGAAAAGAAAAAAAAAAAAAAAAACAAAACCAACAAATCCCAGTCAGAAAGAACTCTTAATTGAAGCACCATTGTGCCGTGGTAACTGCTATTAAATTAATCTGCTGCATTCCTTTCCACCCACACACTTTAAAACTTCCTGGTTATAATTAGAACCATCTAAAACCAATTTGACACTCCTCGGATGATGCAGTTCAGCTGCTTAATATGGTGAGACTTTGGTGAAAGGAGCGGAGAAGGGCTGCGAGCAAGCTGGGGCTGCTGCTCCTGCCCGGGGATCTCAGTTCCAGGGGGAATTGGAGTTTAGCTCTGCTCTGAGCTCGCTCCATCCCGCTTGTCCCAAGGGAGATGCTCCAGCCCAGAGCCCCCCCCGGGTGCCGGGCAGGGGATTTTGGGAGGTTCGTGTTTTGTTTTGGGAGCCCCTCGAGCTCTCCCCTCCTTTGTGGCAGCTGGAGAAGGCATCAAAAGCTTAATTCCCCGATGGAAAAGCGTTTGGGTGTTTCGGAGTGGGGAAAAGGCACCCGAGTGCAGGGCCGAGAGGGGATTTTTTGGCAATGGGGGATTTAGAGGTGTGGGGATGGCGCCCACCCCTTCACCGACGCTGTGCCTGCCTCGGGCTTAGCCAATCTTGGAGGATGCTCCTCCAGGGCTGGGTCTGGGGAAAATGTTCTGGGACCTGAGGTGAGAAACCACCGGGCCTGGCCGAGAACTGGCGCGGGTGTCACTTCTGCAAAACGTGTTCCTGCTCGCCGCCTTTATCTGTCATCCTCGGAACCACCTGGGTGCCATTTGATGCTATCAGGGACCGCGCCGAGCTCCCAGCACATCCCCGGCCGCCTCAAGGCACCGCCGGTTCCTCCGCAGCCCTGGAAGATCCC